CCTCTCCCCCCCCCCCCCCCCCCCCCCAATGTGACATTATTTATACATCCGTTAAACAACCTTCCCCCAAAATCTCAGTATTGGTAGATAATCGTAATAAGGAAAATTAAAACATAGTTATACAATTCTAAAAAATATATATAGTTATTTTATAAATAAAATGTGTTTTGTATGTTATTATGCAATAAATCTTACAATATTTTCCTTAAGATTTATTTAAAAAAAAAATATATATATATATAAAATAATTCCTAAATAATAAATGAATAAAATATGTAACCAAATAAAATAAAAAAAAGCACATTTCAAAAATCAAATATACTTTCTATCCTTGGTGAAAGCAAAATACAATGTGAAGCGACACAATTACTGCCAATCGGAAAGAAAACGTGGGGCATAAAACAAAACAAAAGCCCGAATGACTAATACGTTAGGCATCAGTAACCAAAATAAAATAACAAAATGGATCAACCTTTGAGGAAAAAGCAGAAGGAAATGCATGCATCAATAAATGGGTCAAAAGTGTTACCTGCATGGATATCAACATGAAGTCCACTAAGCTTCCAATTCCACAGAACCCCACAGTGCAGAATTTCAGTAGGCCTGAAAACAAACAAAAAGTGATCCACATGTTAACCAAGAACATACTGTACTGAAAGCCTCCCGTCATAACCAGTTTGTGTCCAAAAACACTTTCTCTCTGGCTTCTCTGTATGACCCCAAAGAAAAACAATTTTGAGGTCAAAGCTATTGTGTATGAGTGCAGACTGCTGTTGAAGTTTTCAAACCACTGTGCAAGGTTGTAAGGTCAAATTACACATTCGTACAACTGGCTTCTTTCTGTGTGAAGAATTTAGAAGATTTTGTGCATTTAAGACTTAATTGGTAAGGTAGGATGGTATGTCACTCAATTAATATTCATGAGCCAAGTTAAGGTTAATAATATCCACACATAATTGCCACAAAATAAACAATTTTGGTTTAAATTTAAGTAGGCCTATTTTGGATATCCATTTGAAAACACCATCAGGAGCCCATGAGATCTGCAGTCAATTAAAAAAACCCTTCCATCCTGCGAATCAAACATAATTGCTGCTAATCATCTCTAATATTTCTTATAATTGGTCATTGAGGGGTTTAGGCATGTTGATTCCAGGACGGATATCAAAAAAGCCACCTGCAGAATGTCTTCTCAACAAGTCCAGGCCTTCCTTTGAGTCACACCTGGTCTGGACTGACCTCAGAGCTGCTGGGCCATTACGCTCTCAATGAACACGTCTATACAACTGACTCCAGCGTGGTGTGAGCCTGCCTTTCACAAAGAAGCCGGGAACAAGGGGGACCTTCAAACGCCCAGGCCCTTTTGTCCTAAAGCAGGTGCTTAATTGATCAGGAAGTCCTTAAAACATGGAGAGAGGCAGAAAGATGGCGCTTCCCGCTGTATTCCGCCTTGGGATTTAGATGTACGGCTTGAACTCATCTGCATGCGATGACAATAATTGCACTATGGGATAGACGAACACCATGAGATCTGATGGTAAAGGAGAGAACTGTTTTAGTTAATTAGTTGTTGCACGCTGATTCGTTTTGTTAAAACAGCTGGTGCCAAAAAAGAGCAAGGTGTTCTAAAAAGGGTCATCGGTGGGTTTCTCACATGTTCTGAAAGCAGCACGTGTTCTACAGCTCTGTAAGGAGTCGGACTGATCCTCTTGGCCTCATGTGTGAACAGCATGTACCTTTTCTTAAAAGCTCTACAAAACCATTTCATGACATCAGTGTGTGCTGCGATTTCTCTCAGGGGTTTATTTTCAAAAGAGGCGTGGATCTGGTGGGGATTGTTAATGTCGTTGTCAAAGGGGAAGGTCTAGAGTTCTTCGAACTAACAGAAAGGCCAGAAAAACACTTTAATAACCAGTCTTTAATCAATGTTTTTTTTTTGGCTTTAAATCCATGGCTGATGGAGGGACTCCCACAAAACCTGTTTAAAACATGACCAGGGGCCTGTTTCATAAAACAAGTTTACCAAATAAGCCAGGCTTATTTCAGTTAGTCTGACTTATTTTGAATCAAATCAACGGACAATAAGTCAGACAAACTGAAATAAACCTGGCTTATTTGGTAAACTTGTTTTATGAAACAGGCCCCTGGTCACATTTCTACGTAAATTCAAAAGCATTTTTTAAAAATATATATATATTGCTGACAAAGTCTCAAAATAAAGGCATTTTTTATTACAATTAAACACATTTTCCCCTGAAAATCCCCCCTAATTTATGGATGTTTTAAATCTTAAGTTACATTTATTATTTTTTTTTCTATAATTCACATTATTCCCTAAGCTGATTCTCACTAATATAATATGATAATTATTTATTGCATTGTAGTAAAAAAAAAAAAAAAAAGATCAGTGCTGTTATTATTAACTAAAACTATTAAGAAAAAAAAACATTTTTGCGCATTCAAATAAACCTGAAATAAAATATTAGATGAAAAATATAAACTAAACTAAAAGTTTAGCATAGAAATGCTGCCTTGGCAAATAACTGATAAGTACTATAATTACTAACTGAAATAAAACTAAAACTAAAACTAAAAATTAAATCAATTTAGAAAAAAAAACAAAAGCATAAAAAATACAAAGAAATTAAGCAAATTGAATTGCAAACTGAAAATATAAAAGCTAATACAATTTTTTTTAAATAATAGTACAGTATATAAATAATCCTAAAATAACAGATTGTTTTAGTGAATTTTGTAAAATAAGTGCTTCCTTAAAAGTCTGTAATTTTACGTACTTCTTTTTTTTCTTCTTATTGTTAAACTGTAAAATAAAATAAAATAAAGTAAATAAATAAATCATAATCGAGATTATATATGCCACCCTGCTCTCTAGATTTTGTTACCAGGATTGGGCATTAAGAAAAAAACTCTAATCTGCAATTATATCGGTTACTGTCATATCATAATCATAATAACGATCAGAATATATCCATAATAATTATTGGTATCAGATCAAATGTCCATGTCAGTGCTGAAATGTCCATATCTGCCTTTTCAAATCAACAAGTGCAAGAAAAATCAGTCTGTGTGATTCTTATTCTGAGAACATCTGGTGAAAAGGTGTGTCCTTGGAAAGGAAACAAGAGATGATGTCAACAGCAGAATATCCAGGACTGATTCTGTCTGTTCTAAAGGTCCCCTGTGGTTCAGCGCAGCACAAGCATGAGATATTTTCATGAGTTATTGATGGGTAAATGGGTGCCAGAAAGAGGGGATTTAGGGCTACGGCACACAGCCAAAGAGTGAAAAATGCAATGTTGGATCCATGGCCTAGCGGCCTACACATTTAGCCAAGTTCGAATCTGGTTTGCAACATTTGCAGATTTCACTTTCCTATCATTAAATCTCACAGTGTCTATAAAGAATGGACCAAACGACCAACAATAAAAGTCAAGTAGTACTGTCTTACCCAAGGCTGGATATCCCAAGTAGAACCGATCCGCCCCAATCCATCCCAGGAAGAGTGACAGCGCAACAGCTACTTTGTATGAGTAACCACTCCTAATGTAAAACAAAAAACATATCCATGTTATTCAAATATATTTACAGATTATTCGCAAATATGAATCATCTATACTCAAATTCAAAGTAAGTTTGACTTACACATTTCGACATGGGATGCTTTTGTTAAACCCAACCTCTTCACCGCTGAATTTAAACTGCGTTCCATTTGACAGCCGACAGCTCATGTTTGGAGCAGGTAGACATTCCACTGCAATGAAACTCAGCCTTAGACTCCTGATTTAATAGTCATGTAGTGACATGTAGCTAGTATCAGGCATATTCTGGCATTATAGACATATCTTTTTATGAAACATAAATAAAAATGAAATATACAGAAATGTTAATATAATTAAATAAAAATAATAAAAAAGTGTATATATATATATATATATATATATAGTGGGTACGGAAAGTATTCAGACCCCCTTAAATTTTTCACTCTTTGTATAAATACATATTTATATGATTATATTATTACAGTTCTTATAATAAATAATCATGTTATCACAAAAAATATTCAAAGTATTATTTAAAATATTGTATATAACAATTATAATAAATTATAAAACATAACATTAAAACACAATTATTACATTAGTCTAAAATGTGATTATAGTTTATAATTATATTAATATATTATATATAATGTTATATATAATACATAAAATATTTCATTACATGATTATATATAATATAAAAGTAAAAAATAATAATTATTCATAACATAAATGTATGACATTTAATATAAATGTATAATACATTTAAAATAAATTATAAATGTAATATATCATATTACACATTATAAATTACTTTAGTTATATGAAAATTGTATTATGTATAAAATTATATTTACACACTATACTGATCATTATACACACACACACTAAGCATTATAATATAATTATAGTAATTAATATAATTTCATTATGCATTATATATTATTTACATTATAGAAATGTACACACTACACTTAATAAATAATATTATTTCATTTAATAAATATATTTAATAATATACAATTAATAAATAATACTGTATAATATAATTATATTAATGAATAGAAATACATAAATAAAAATACATAAAATATTATATAATATTGCATTACATGATTATATTATTAAAGTTATAAAAATGTGAAATTATAATAAATTATACATAATATAAATATATATTTTATATAAATGTATTAAATTATCATATAATAAAAAAATTAAACTATGTATTATATATTAATTTATACAATTGTATTATAATTGTAATATATACAGTGGGTACGGAAAGTATTCAGACCCCCTTAAATTTTTCACTCTTTGTTATATTGCAGCCATTTGCTAAAATCATTTAAGTTAATTTTTTTTCCTCATTAATGTACACACAGCACCCCATATTGACAGAAAAACACAGAATTGTTGACATTTTTGCAAATTTATTAAAAAAGAAAAACTGAAATAACACATGGTCCTAAGTATTCAGACCCTTTGCTCAGTATTTAGTAGAAACACCCTTTTGATCTAATACAGCCATGAGTCTTGTTGGGAAAGATGCAACAAGCACTACAATAGCAGCATTTTAAATAGTGAAACATATGTACACAGCCGACCCGACCCACCCCAAGCCAACCGGTCCTTGCAGTTTTCTGGTTCTTGAGTCGCATCATCTATTTTGGGTTCTTTACACACATACCTGAGCACTGTCAAGGAGAAATCAAGTGGTATTTATCATAAAGCAACATTAACTGATACAGATTTCCTCTAGTGATGGATAAATGACAGACATGAGCCATCATAAGACAATCAGTGGACATCGAAATGTAATAAATTGTACATTTATGTAATAAAAACACATCTGAAATGTTCAAACCGGTCTAAACCTAATCTAATGTCATGCAATGTAGGGCATATTGAGTATAGCTTTCTGCATCACTCCATACAAGATTGAATCACAAATCTAGAACACAACACCTAATATTTGTACTCTAATTATGTAAAATACTGACTTGTAAGTTAATTAGTACATTTGTATTAAAAACAAGCACCAGTGCTGAGCTGGTGTAGCTGGTTTTTCCAGTAGGGATAACAGCGGCAATGCTAGCTAGCCGGCTACTATTTAAACGATCCCAATATATTTAGGTGATTTTGAAAGGATATTGTCCCAGCCGCAGTTTATCACAGCTGTCCACATCGTCCCCCAGGCTGTGGATGACAGTCAGGCAGAAGGTGAAGATGATCAGCGGCCGTGTTGTTGACCGAAAGCGCAACAAACTCTTCCAGCGCAACGCCATGTTGAACTGTCACGTGACTGCCGGAGCTCTTAAAGAAACAGTGCACTAGATTCGCCGCACACATAGCATGTAAGTCTCTCGTAATTCTGTTATATGTCGCCTTTAACTTCATGCATATACTTAATAATGCCAGATTGTTTGGTTAGAGAAAGTTTGCACTTAAAAACAAGTGTCCGTTCAACTTATTCGCGGTGTTTCATGCTGATAATCAACTTTATAACCGGCTAACTGCGCTAGCCTGTGTCACATAATAGCGTTTGTATTGGGAAGCAGGAGCACGTTTGTGTATGAGGTTGTATTTTCATTCTTTTCAAAGTTATGGTTTATTATTGATATTTGAAAACAAAGCACGTTTCGATTGATAAAATGATTCTTTAATGTCTTATTTATTTTGACTGTCAATACGTTTTAAGAGCACTGATTTCAATGGTGACTCGGTGTTTTACGCGTATGCACCTGTTTGTTTGCGTTTATATCATTTAAATTCTATGACATTCTATAAATAATGCTTTATTTAAAGAGTAGAAATATAAACACCTCTTTATACTTCAGTTGCATAATGGTTTCTTTGTGTTTAAAAACTAAAATAAAGTTCTCCGAAACGCGAATGATCACTTCCTGGTTCCAGGTGAGGCTCGCGCAGGTGTAAACAGACAAAACAGGACTCAATCTCAGCCCAAAACAACACTTGAAATGCTGGATTGTGTTTTATGAGGGGTTCCAAGTTTTGATTTAACCTCACGGCCGAGTGTATGGACATAAATATTGTAGGTAAGTATGGTAGATACTCTCACTTTTGTTTGGCTGCTTATGGGAACAGAAACTACCTAATGATCTTTTGAAAGATATGGTTACAGGTTATAGAAATCGATACTTGAGTCTTTTGAGTAATTTCTGTTTGATCATATGAAAACAAATGCACGATGTCAGCTTAAATGTAGTAAAACTAAGATCTACTACCATCATTTGGAGAAACATTTATGATTTATTTATTATAACGTTTGCATGGTTCCCATTTTTGTGGAAATTTAGAAAGGTCAAGGACAACATGGAAATTAGTATCACTTTGAAAAGCCATTTCTGTTTGATGAGTCTAATTGTGAGTTATACTGAATTTTGAATGTTTGATATAGCTAATTAAATTATTGTAATTATTACTGACAATAATTATAATAACAGCAATTATTACAGTTTTGTTGTTGTTGTTCTTACATACACTGCCGTCTGAGTCTTTTATGCGCATCAAGGCTGTATTTATTTAATCAAAAACACAGGAAAAACAGTAATATTGTGAAATATTATTGCAATTTCTAATAATGGTTTCCTATTTTAAAATACTTTAAAATAGGATTTATTCCTGTGATCAAAGCTGTATTTTCAGCATCATTACTCCAGTCTTCAGTGTCACACGATCCTTCAGAAATCACTCTAATATGCTGATTTATTATCAGTGTTGAAACTGTTGTGCTGCTTACCGTTTTTTTTTGGAACTTGTGATGCTTATTTCTGTGATTATTTGATGAATAAGTTAAAAAGAACATTTATTTATATAAAAAAAGTTTTAACAATGTAATTTTTTACTATAACTTTTTATCCATTTCACACATAGTTGCTGAATAAAAGTATTAATTTCTTTAAAAAAAAGAAAAGAAATAATTTACTGACCCCTAACTTTTTAATAGTAGTGTCTATTGTAACGCAACATTTCTATTTTGAATAAACACTGTTCTTTTTAACTTTTTATTTATCACAGATCCAGATTTGCTTCGCAGGAATAAATGATATTTTAAAGTATATTAAAATAGAAAACTGTTATTTTAATTTGCAAGAATTTTTTCACAAAATTAGTTTTTTTTCTGTATTTTTGATCAAATAGAATAGATGCATAAGATGCATTATTTAAATGCAAACTTATTTAAAAAA